GAGTCAATGACGGCAGGCGTGATTGGCCGGAGGACTCCCTAGATCGGGAGCACTCGTGCCTGTTCGCGAAGTCGACGAATTAATATGCTATTTAATTAGGCAATTCGGGTGCATTGATAAAATCCCCGAGACCTGCAAGAAATTGAGCAATGTTTCTGACAAATGGAATTTCACGCGACGTTACCGAATACGTATTAATTCTTATTTACACGTCATAGTAAAATGGGATATCAAATGGATTGTTTTTGCAAAATAATAAATGTATATATGGAAAAATGAAAGAATAAGTGGGTATTTAACAAACATTTGATGACGATTTGGAAGATTTCGAATGAGTTTGAAAATATTTTTTAATTATGTGTTGAAATTCGTAAAGAGTTGTTTATTAATTATTGTTCTATATTTGTTATTAATTTAAAAAAGAGAAAGGGAACGATACCTTTATGTGTATCTTACTTATCTAAAATACGTTATGCTAAATATAAATATTGATTTATATTAATTGATATTATGAAAAAATTTAAAATTTTATTATTAAAAATAACATATAACTCATCTAACGTGATATGTAATATAGATACAACAATTTTTATATAATTTTAATAATATTTTTTTTTAAATTTAACTCATATTCAACATTTTTAAAAAATTTTATAAGTAAAATATATATAATTTTTATAAGAAATCAAATTATTATTAAAATTAATTTATTAATTCTTAATTTTATTGATTTCTTTATAAAAATTTTATTTTCTGATGCCATTTAAATTTTATGTTATGAATACTTATTATCAGAAAAATATCTTTGCTACTATATTTTACCTTTTCTACTTTCTTCTATTATCGCTATGTTTATAGCAACTTATTTAATCGAACGATAATAAGCAATGAAAACATTTATTTTAAAAAAGATTTGATATTCTGTATCTGCAATATTTTGCAAAACAGATCGAAAGGTGGGATGAATAATGGATATCGATACTCAAAACATTTTTGCATGGACATTAATGTTCGTACAAACGCACAATACCGTGAGACACGTGATATCTTCGGTCTGGTGAATTTCATTGCATTTCCTGTACGATATTTAAATGAGAAAGCGAAACGCATAAAAGTTCAAACTTGCTCTAAAAGCAAAACTCGATCAAGATCAGCATAGGATGGATATCCGGTTGAATTAAATATCCGCGGCCTATCGACTACTGGCCTATTGGCCTACACGCGTACAACATTCATCTCATAGAACATTTAAAAAATAGAGTAAAGTTAAAAATATGTTCAAAAATTAGGAAAGAAATCTATTATTTTTAATACAAACAAAAAGTTTTTATCATTACATATAATTTTTAATTATTAATTCAAAATATAATTCTCTTCTTTTTTTAGTTTAATGATCCATTTTTAACATAAATAATTTACAAAATTTATAAAATTTTGAATTATTTATAAAGAATAATGGATTTCTCGTAATATTATGCATTTATAAAAAATATTATGTAGAATATATAATAGATAATATGTACACATTACATATCATACATTTGAAAGATATCAATCATTTTATTATAATATTTATTTATCTTAATTATAATGTTAAAATATGATACAAGAATTTTTTCCGAATTTTTACTACTCTTTAAAAGTAAAGAAAGATAGTCAAAAGTAGCGAGATTTATGTTTCTTCAAGCATTTAAAATGTTAATAAGATATTTTATACATTTCATTTAATATTTCATAAAAATACAATAAAACATAGAAAAAAAACATAGAATATAAAAAACATAGAATATAGAATATATATATTGAAATATTAATTGAAATTTATTGATTCTACAATAATTATAACTTCAAAATGAATGCGTATAATGTAAAAATTTAAATGTTGTTTTAAAAGTCAATATTTATATAATACCTATAAAATATTATCCAATTCATTAAGCCTCAAACTGTCGACAATAACAACAATTAATTTTTTTATTTATTTTCTTTTTATAAGTATTCTCTTTTAATGTAATATATATTTCATGTAATTGATAGAGAAATAATTTCTAAAATATGTTTTTAATTGATTATTTTTAAAACAAAATAGACTGCAAAAATTTAAAGAATTATTGTTACATTTCATTCTTCAGAATTATCATTTATATTTTTTATAAGTTTGCCATAAATAGGTGTATATTTATGTATTTTTATGAAACCTTGAATTCTATAATATATGATTTATTAAAATTGTAACTATATAAAAAATTTTTCAGTATTTTTCATCCTCGTTTTTGTTCATATGAAAAAATTAATTTATAGTTCGCGAAAGATTTATTCCCATTTATATTCTAAAGACGATAAAATAAAACAATATAGAATTTCTATATATCTTTTATATTCCGTAGTATTTTTAAAATATTAATAAATTTAATTTTTTTATGTAGTAATTACATGATGATATCATAATACATGACTTATATTATATTATATTATTATATATTATATTATATTAAATATATAACAAATAAAATTTAACAATGTTTATAATAATATATATTTATTTATAATAATAAATATATTATCAATTTTTTAAACACATTATGTATAATATATATTTATGTAAAGAATAATATATGCAAATAAAATTTGTATAAAATATGTAAAAAGATATGTAACATGAAAATATATATTTACATAAAAATCTACGGTACATTTATTTCGTTTTTCATAAAAATTTGCCGCTGATCTGAGAAAATCGATCGCAAAAATTCAACAGATTATTTCTTTTAATTTGCAAATAATAATTGATGCAACAAATTTTCAATAAAATTGGATACAAACTTCTCTCAAACTTCGCATAGAAAATAAACACAAAATTAAAAGATATACACTATATCAGCTACCAGTGAGACCACTATCTGCACATTACTTTGCAAAAATGTTGCCTTGAAACCAACTGTCAAACATACGGGCTACTCAGTCTATGTATATCTATCAAATATTTATAACTATTTGTACATTTACAGAAGTAACGTAAAACTGTCATAAAAAGTCTGAAAAAAAGAGAAAAAAAAAAAGAATCATTCTTGAATAAACAATCTATATATCGAATATGCATTCTCTTGTGTAACTAAAATCACTTTTGCAAAGAACGAAGATCTCTTGTATAAAGAACACCTTTCTCTATAACTCTGTTAACAAACATTGGAACCGCAAGATAAATTATTTACATTCATTTGTATTTTTGTTGAACTAGTACAAGGCAATTATAAAAATTCTAAAAATAAAAAAGAAAAATTGAATAAAAACAAGCTATTAAATATTTACAACAGCATCCCTTTTATATCTGTTTTTCTTCGATAATTAACACGAAAAAAAAAAGCACCTTTCCTTCACAATTCTCTTACAACAAGCATCGAAATCTCACGATAAGTATCTATCACTCTTTCATCGTAATTTCATTAAAGTAAGAAACAAAAGAATTTTGAAAATAAATTCTCGAATAAGAATAAACGATACACAACTTATGCATCAAATAGCTGCAACAACATTTCCTTCCAGTATTCTTCGATTAATTAACGTGGAGAACGCCCTCCCCGCGATTCTATTAACAAACTTTGAAATCGTAGTAAGGCAAGTACATCGCCTAGATTGGAATCGTTCGGATTGAAAAGGAAGTTGGCCAACTTTTCCCAGAGGCGAAGCTCGTTTTTTTCTCCCCTCCCCTCGCCCCTTGTAATCATATTTCTAGCCCAATTAAAATAGCTAAACGTTTATATTTATCTTTAGACGAGAGCTTACAGCGATGTTTCGCACGAATCTTGATGTTCTCACGGTAATGTCAACGTGTACGCTAGTTCGCGTCCGGTGCCCTTGTCTTCTTCAGACATGTGCGCACACGTTGTATTATGCATGACCAGGGTGTTAAGTATGAGAAGGAGAGGATAGGAGGGCTTCTTGCCGCAGGCGTGAGATGCATGAGAGGATGGCCTTCTCCGCTCATCTTTCTGGAAGACAATAGAATCTGGCATCCGCCACTTTGAATCAAGCTGCTGGCACCGGTTACTTCCGCTTAACATTATCTGGAATTTCCACCTAACTTTTCTAATGGCCTCTCGATATACAGGGTGTAAAATATGTGGGACCCGCTTCGAAAATATCGATTGTATATCCATAAACAATTTGAATTTGTGTGTAGATATAATAGTAAGTGTACAAAGGGATCTAATCCGAAAATTTCGATTTTGTGTATAAAAGTTTTTCGTGTATGAGTTATACGTGAAATAATTTCTTTTTTGTTTCTGTGTGTGTTTTAAGTATAATTTTTGTTTGGAATATTTTTCAAAACGAAATCTGAACATTGTATATATACTCTATTGTAGATATACAATGTGTAATATGTATTTATTTTATCTTGTATTATATATATTTAAGAAAGAGAAAATATTGAAAATTTAAGGATTGATTTCACCCTCTCAAAATATTTATGAACTTTATATTGATTCATTGTATATTCTTGTCTATGACATATAATGAATTTTAAATATAAGCAGACTGGAACATTGCAAATAGAAAAAAAG